AAATAATACCCCTTCGGACACTCGTAACTCTCGAGCGTACCCAACAACCCATCGCACCGGCCAATCTCCGTGCGCTGGAACTGGTCGAGTGCCGTCTTGTCGGCTGAGACTTTGTGCAGCTCCGCGACTTTGGCGGAGAGGCGTTTTCGCAAGTCCGCGTTCAAGCAGGATTGGCCGTCGTCTCCGATGGAGGTGTCGCACCATATGAGGAGGGTGTTGAGCAACGAGCAGATGTGACCGGGTCCGCTTGGTCGTTTCCATGCGATGCCTTCGACGAACGCGGTGGCGACGATGGTAGGGATGTCGGCTATGAGGGGTTTGTTGGACAGGAAACGACGAAAGTAAGGATTGACTTTGGGTTCCGGGAGGAGAGAGAGAATTTGGACATAATTCGCTAGAGCGATAGGTTGGGTTTTAGGGTCTACTGCACGTAGAGCGTTGGCGAGTGCTGGAAGATGCGCGGCGGAAAAAGCGTTGTAAATTCCATCCAATGCAGGGCGAGGAAGGATATTCAGAGCCTGGAGCTAGTATATGTGTAACAACGACGTTGGATTGTGAGTTACGCCTTAGGAGGTACTTCATACTAGCTAAACCACACACCTGTGTCTGCAGCTCTTTATCCTCTTCCGGAGTAAAGTCTGCCCCAGCTACAAGCAGCGAGTCTGGAAGGAGACGTGCATTCTTGGCCAACAACTGTGCCAATGGCACGGCCTCCTTCGCCAGCGCATCCTTCTCATAGGCCTTACCGTTGATGTTCACGGTCGCCATGATGGTTTCGTGTTATCCTAGTAACCTTGACTCGCGGATGAAATTGATCAAGTTAAGTACTCCACTGGCTAGCGCTCATGAGATCTAGAGGCTTCTCGCTTTGCAAATAGCGCAAACCGTTTATCACTTATAGGAATTGTATAAATACGGGATCTTCCTAAGTGCAATAAACCGCCAATAAACCATGTCATTCCGAATTATAAAACAGCGAGAATGGGACACGAAAAACAAGCACTGAGTGGGGAAGGATGTGAGAAATGGGATGAGGATGATTGTACAACAAATAGAACGCAAAAGCCCCCTATTTTACCAAAGCACGACGTCGATCGAAGAAACCGTTCAAATGAAGCGATACAAGTACAAAAAAAGTCACGAATAGAGTACATCCACTTAATTAACCTACCGACGTCCATCATGCGAATTTTACGCGTCCAGGAACTCTTTGGACATGTCAGCGAACGCAGCCTGACCCACCCCGAGCAGTCCAAGTTGTACGACAACAGCGGCTGTCTGCCTGTAAAGCGTCTCAAGCGCAGGGTGTGCAGGTTTTCCTTGAGATTCTGCAAAACAGAGTTCTCTCGCGTCAATAACCATTTCAAGGTAGACATCGGTGGGTGATATGAGACTTACCAAGGATGGCCTGGTTCAGCTCGTTCGCGAGCCTCGCCCTCGCCTCCTGCCCCGCCATCTCAGCCACCTCTCCACCTGCAGCAATCGGATCCGCATACGCAACGACCCCAAACGTCCTCTTCAAATGACTCCTCACGTCGGGTCTTCCATCAGTCTTGTAATCCGCCTCCAACTTCTGACCATACTCGATCGCAGTGTGCAGAGCCTCCTTGGCCGCTAGAGAGGGCGTGATAGAACGATGCGGTGAATATCGATGAGTGTTGTCTCCGGTGACAGTAGACGAGGTATGCGTGCTCAAAGCAGGAGAGACGGTGGCATCCACGAGTTCCTCAGGCGACGGATCGTCCACATCCATCGCGCCCAATCCATCCATCCCATCTTGCTCCTCGTACGCCTCCCTCTCCCTCTCCTTTACATCCCACCGTTCCTGTTCCTCCGTAGCAGCCTGTTCCGCCTGCACCCTCTTCAACGCATCGCTCGCGTCCAAAATGAGCTCTACAAACTTACGACACCTCAACTTGAACAACATCAACCCCTGCTCGCGCTCAAGCACAACAGGATGATGCTCCCTCGTCAACGCGATCGCAGTATCCACATCGCCCTTCAACACCGAGTTAATCACATCAATCCTCGTGCGCAGGTCAAATTCGGCATCCAGCGACGACATCCGTCTATCGGTATCCATAGCGTGCTCCCCGGATCCGGAAGCGCGGCTGTTGCTATCATCACATTGCGCCTGGAACGCCCTGGCCGTTTTCGCATACCCATGATGAGCCAGATACGACAACACAAGTTGCCTCACCGGCGCCTTCATGCGTTCTTCCTCCAGCGCGCCGCCCTTGGGTATGGAGACTTTCGGTGTCACCGTCTTCTCTTCGTCATCTGCTGATGCCCCCTTTCCATTCAACAAGTCCCAGTCAATCTGGGTAGACTGAATGTTCGCCCAGACGTTGTTCCGCTGTGCGTGTACGTGATCGTCTATAGCGTATTTGAACGGCGAATGCCCGAAATTGACGCGGATCGATTCAGTGGACTGGCGAAGCCCGATGGAAGGATATATGTCGACACCTTTGCCGACGTTATCAAAGACCATGCCTGTATATGTAGATGATAGTATCGTTTGTTACGAAGTGTATGCGAGTATAGAACGACGTACTTACCCAGGAAAGCTCCGTTCTTGGTGTAGAACACTCTGTTCTGGGAGAAATCAATACCGCATCCGATCACGTCACCAGCTGCGTATAATAGAAACGTATATGAGCGACGATCAGGCGACGATGGGGATGTATGGAAACGTACTGTCGAATGTCGGGCCGTATGTCTGACCGTCCTTGTGGTGTCCATCGAACGCACAGCCGTCATCAGCATGGTATCCCCATGAGTGTTTCTCCCATCCGGGTAAACGCGAGAGGCGAACTTCTGGGGAAGCAAAGCTATGCGGAAATTAGAGACGCATATATGTCGAAAAGATGGGGAGCGTACCCAATGCTAATGTGCCTATAGAGAGGTGTTAGTAAACGTCAGACTGATCACGGAGGGAAAGCGTACCCCTTGTTACCCCCTGGCTTCTGAACGATCTCGACTTCATAATAATAAATCCCGCATGCAGGCGGAATGGGATTGTTCGCACGTGCAGCCGCGGAGTCTCGCTCACCTATGCACGACGGTCCTGGGTAGAGTGAGATCCAGATTTCGCACGATATACAAAAATTTACACACCAAAGAACGTAAGCTCTCGTCCATCGCTCGATACCGTCAACGACGGATGCCTGTCCTGCTCGTTCCACCTTGTCGGTAGCCTCAGCACCGGATGGGTAAGAAGAGTGCTTGGAGCAGGCGCAGGAGTTCCACGTGTACTCGGAGGGGAAGGACTGGCAGTGCTGTCTTCATCCGTGTCGCCACTCGGGCTTTGTTCCCGACGCAAGTATGGGTAAGGCGCTGGAGGGGGTGTACTGGCCCACGAGGCCTGCCCGTGATGGGCAAGCTCTGACGTCAGAGGATTAGATGGACGAAGGGGAGGTGCGTCGGTGTAAAGCAGGTCGCGCAGAGAGGACTGCTCGAGGTATGCAGGACGCTGAAATGGGGGGAATTGCGGCGCGACGGAGGCGGTTTGCGCAGTCGGAAGAGGTATCGTTGACCGCAAGACACTTGGTGGGATGCTCGTGGTGGATACGCTGGGAACTCTGGGGACACTCGTGCGACGCGTGTGGGGTACAGAGATGGGTACGCACACAGGAGATTCTGTTATGTGTCCCGGAGAGCCCGTGGCACGGATGACGCGTGGCTCGAACATTGTGGTTATGGTTGATTGTGTTGGTGGTCCACGGTTGAGAGCTGCTGCGTAGCCACCAGACAATGTACGTACCGGTGAGACTGGAGCAGCCATTCGTCCTGTTATTGCCCTCTCTGGACTGGATGCGACCGCGGCGCGTGTACTACCACTACTCACAAGGCGGGGCCGGGTAGCAGGATTTGTAGAGAAGGGTATGGCAATCACTGACTCGATGTTGCGAGCAGGATTAGCGGGGATGGGGATACTCGCCGAACGTGTCTGCCTGGATGCCATGGTTTACGTTCGCGGGGCGGAGAGGGACGCGGTGGTCTTGATCGACAAGGACAGGAGGCTAGTAGGCAGTTTGGGCGACTCTCTCTTGAAGAGGACGTTGAAAGCTGCGCAGAGCATGTACACAGAGAGGTGTAAGCGAAGTACGAGGACTAGATGCTGCAAAATAAGCTGCAGCCGACGAGTGGTGGTGGTGGTGGTGGTAGGACGATGAAGAGAGTCACCGCGGCTCGGATACAATATTATTGCTACTGAGCGCTTGTATGATTGCTTTCAGCTTGACACTACACAATCATGACAAGCACAACTCACAGGTGACAAAGGGGAGGAGTTGAAGAACGTCGTAGAAGGAGAAGGAGAACAAGGAGGATATAAAGCGGTCGACTGTGCGGTGTGGGAGCAGGCAACGACAGAGGGGCGGTCTCCAGGAGCAAAGCAGCCTAGTGCGCACGAGACCAACTCACAGGACCGCTGTTCCCCGCACGGTTCACTGAGGCTATCCCCAGATCCGCTGTCTGCCAAGATGTCAGTAGCGTAGGGGGAGTTCAAACCAACAAGGCGTCGAGGACGGTATATTCAACGTTCGTGGTGCTTGAGATTCAGAGACAACTTCTGGCAACTGTCCTCCTGGCGCTTAGTCAATGGTATCCGAGAAATGAAATGAGGACTATATGTTGCGCAACATATGCTCTCACACCAGCGGAGTCCAGCTGAGTGACGCTAGAGGCACAAGGTTAGGCTTTATGGCATCGACCCAGAGTTCTGTGGCAGAGTTACCGCACGGGTGAGCTTCCTATAGCCACAGACATCAGAACCGCGGGCAGATGATCATTCTTCTGCATTCACTCGTAGGTTTCCAAAGATGTATAGCATACCATCGCTGAGTGTCAGTGATTCATCTCGTGTGAGAGTGTTGCGTTATGCAATGCAATCACTATTCAACGATAGTAATTCCTCGTGGCCGCAGTCAGGACCAGTGATCGAGCGCTCACAGACATTCGAGTCCCGTCTTAGAAGGACAGACAAAGAAAATAAAAAGCTGCCCCAGTGAGGCTCGAACTCACGACCTTCCGATCACGCAACTCGGACTTGTAGACAAGCCACTTAGTAACAGTCGGACGCTGTAACCAACTCAGCCATGGGGCAGTTATTCTTATGCGCTATGCATTAGTCTATATAGCGCCAATTTCCCCAAAGCAATCGCTCACGCGCACCGAGACTGACGCGTCTCGCGATCAGGCAACTTCGTCTTTAGCTTCATCCCTACCCTCGTGTATTCCTCAAACACTCAACGCTATATTTCCCAAACACTATGGTATGCATGCAACACTGACTCTATAATGAACCTACTCTAACATATCTCAGGACTCCTCGCTTCGGATAGTTCCCGCATCCACCCCAAAGACCGCCACCATCCAAGATACAGCCAACTCTCTCGGCCTACACGACACTCTCAAGCATGGTCCAAGGAGTCTCGCATCGGAAGTGAAGACTGTTAGCACTATCAAGGATCGTCTTGAGAACGTGCGTATTTATCTTACACGCTCTCCCTTGTGCAATGTATATCGACCTTTTCCTTTGAACGATAGTGGGAAGCCACCCAAGACAACTTGAAGCTCAACCTCCACCGAAACGTCTATGGTATGCACGCACCCATCAGATTGCTTATGGAGAGGAAGCTTGTCGGTCATGTACGTCCTTGTTCGTTTCGTCAACTATATTGATTGGCTTACGAAAATGCCTATGTGCGTATAGAACCCACATATGCCTGCTCTTCGAACAAGCAACGTCCACCTTGATATCCTCATGGGCCGCGACGAGACTTTAGAGCCTGCAGACTTTATGATGCCTGGTGAGTATCGTAACCCGTCTCTTGATCTCGTCAGCATTCTCATCCAAGTCATTTTTATAGCGTCGGAGATGTCAGCGTCGATGGATATTCATGCTGACATGGAGAAGAAGCTGCGCATGTAATTGTGCACCTATGGCAGATATGGAGTATCTTTGTACGATGAGATTGTGTAATATGAATAACGATTCAAGGACTACATATGCCTGCTTCATAGGTTCAAGACTGCGTCATCGCGGTGAGCGTTCCTTACAAATCTTCTAGATCACTTGCAGTACGCAAGGATCCGTACGAGATGGCCTGTATAACGACGATTGGTTTCTCCAAATCGCGGTAGCCATGGACTCTGGTACACACGAGTGCGTTGGGCTGGTACGTACTCGTACATTCGCAAGGACACTACTGATAATCAGTTTAAGGTCCTGTGTCACACAAATTGATCTAAGAACGCTAGAAATGACGACTGCCACATCCATGTCCAATATTCTCATACTCAGTCTGATATCTTCTACGGAGGATGAGGAAATCCTCAAGCGACATGACTATACGGAAGCCACCGAGTCCACTATGGGCATATCGTCGCTGCCTAAAGTCATGCAAGTCAGGAACTTTGGCAAGCGAAGTCGGACAAAGTATACGCATTTATTGGATCAAGACAAGACAGTCGCGGCGGGCGGATTTGGCGGTACAACACCCGTCAAATCGGATGGCACTTCCACTGCGGGTCCTGGATGTTTTGTGTGCGGGGGGTTTCATTTAAAAAAGGGTGAGTTGATAAACCGCTTCATCTTCGTGAGTGCGAGATTTAATAAACGCCTGCGAACGCCTGCCGCTCAACACGTTCCAATTGTTAAGGTTTAAACTTAAGTTAAACGCGACATGCAGGTGCGGTAGTCCACGTTGCATAGCGTAGATACTCGCTTTCTTTCCCTTTCTCTCCTCCATCGCTATCCCTCGCTGAACGACCCATTGACAAATTATGTCTAAATTTCGAAGGTTACTCCCTCGCATTTTCTGGGGTCCAGAGCGACCCCCAACGCCATCACAGAAAACTCAGGTCGGTAAGATACCGAGGAATGGCGCCAATGACTCGAACAAAGTTGTTGAGTCCCAGCGCGCAGAAGACGTGCCCATCGTCGGTGCGGCCAGTGTCGATCCGGGTGTCAAAGAAGATTCGGACGGTGAGGGTGGTATTATGAAGGATGTGGCCAATATCGGTTTGGCTTTCATTGACCCGGTGATTGAAGTCTCTGGCTCATTTCCGCCGTTGAAGATTGTGGCAGTCGGTCTCAAGCTCATCTTCGAGCATGCACAGGTGAGTCTTTCGTGCTACAGGAATAGCATTCACCCACACCGACTATTGTTTGATATAGACTGCTGAAGGCAACAAGAAGGAAGCACGCGACCTTGGAACTAGGATTGAAGAAATTCTACAAGTGCTACAGAGTTCTCCGGATGACCCTGATATTGTCGAAGGTTGTCAGAGACTGTCCAAGTACGCCCAGATTCTCTACTCCTACATGCATTATAGCTAACCTCTAACGTATCACAGGAAATTGGGGAGGATTGTGAACAAGCTCGGTCCCATCAAAGGCCTCCCGGCAAACAATGCGCTGTGGGACAAATGTGTACGCTTCATCAAGGCTACAGGGAACGCAGAGCTAATTCAAGACTGTATCACGACGGTCGACAACGCTTTGTCGGACTACCAGGTAGGCTCTTGGCACGTATCTGTGAGAGCAATGAGGCTCAACATGCATGCAGCTGTCAATGACGCAACATATCTTCAACATTGTTTGGCAACAAATGGTATGCTACCCATCTGAATCACTCTTCACTCCCGAATAAACTAATTAACGCCCTTTTCTTCAGAAATCCGGTATGCCTTTCGCCGCGTATAATTTGAATGATATGGGCTCACGTGATCATTGCTTGCAATAGAGGAGAGAAAAGCTCTCTCCATGCTTCCACGTGCAGGACAGGCGAGCTTCAATGCAGAGGATAGACCGCAGTGTCTGAAGGGTACAAGAGAGGGGGTGCTGGAATCCTTGCGAACCTGGGCGCTATCAGAGAGCGGAGAGCAGTTCCTCTGGCTGAATGGTCCTGCTGGTACCGGTAAATCGACCATCGCACAGACCTTCGCATACTTGCTTCACTCGAAGGAGAAGCTTGGTGCTAGCTTCTTTTGCTCCCGCAACACGAAGGAGAGGAGAGACCTTGCGATGATCTTCCCTACCATCGCATTCCAGCTTGCCACATCGATGAACCTTGCATCCCAAAAGTTTAGAGACGCTCTTTTACATGCTCTCCAAGCCAATCCCGATGGGACGTCTCTGTCGCTACGGAACCAACTCCGGGATCTTGTTCTTCGTCCTGCGAAAGTATCTGGCATGAAGGCCATCATCATCATCGACGCCCTCGACGAATGCAGCGATGACTCAACAACTTCCAAGCTTCTTTCCTTGCTCGCCGACGTTGCTGACGACATTCCGTCCTTGAAATTCTTCATTACGAGCCGCCCAGAGTCCAACATTCGTTCCAGCTTCCATCGTAGAGAGCTTAACCTCCGTAGCGACCAGAAATCGCTGAATGACGTGCCCACCACTCTGGTCGATCAGGATATTAAAATCTTCCTCAAGGGTGGTTTGAGCCGTTTGGCGGTGGACCGTCCCAATCTTCATCTCCCGGAGGACTGGCTTTCAGAAGAGGTGATCGATGCACTTACGGCTAAAGCTGCTGGCCTATTTATTTTTGCATCCACCGTACTCAAGTTCGTTGACGATGCACACTATGATCCTCGGGACCAGCTTGAAAAGCTATCATCTAACTTGGATGATTCGAAGATCGAAGGCTCGGAAGGACTCGACAAGCTGTATATGGATATTCTTGCACATGCGGTTCCTGACAGAGATGACCAGTTCTCTCGACGGCTCCTCACGCCGGTTCTCGGTCTGCTCGTCGTGGCCCGTGATGCACTCTCTTCTACCGTCATCGCAGCGTTATTGAATTTCAAGCGCGACACAGACGTCCTCACCGTTCTGGACTCACTTCATTCGCTTATCATTGTGCCAGAAAACACAAATGAGCCTATCCGCTTTCAGCACAAGTCTTTCCCCGACTTCCTGACCGACGCCACTCGGTGCACTGACTCCCGTTTCCGAATCGACCGAGATGATCATCACTTCTCCACAAGTTGTGCATGTCTGGTCCAGCTTCCAAAGCGCTTGAAGAAGAATATATGCTCCGTTCCGAGGTACACTCTCAACGCCGACATCGAGCCCGCGAAAGTCCATGAACATATCAACGAAGTTCTAAGATATTGTTGTCGATATTGGGCCGATCATCTTTTCGCTACCGATACTGCGTCCGCGAAAACCCGATTCCCTATGATTCACCATTTGGTATTAAGCTTCCTGAAAGCGCGACAGTTACAGTGGTTTGAGGTACTCGGGCTTCTGCGGGAGTTGAAGTATGGCGTCGATTCACTAAGAGGGCTCATAGATTGGATACCCTTGGTAAGACCCTAGCTTCGCTCTTCCTTCGTTTTACTGAATTGCCCCTGGACGTGTCTCAGTTCAATGGAAACTACCAGGAAATACTCGACTGGGCTACTGATGGCTATAAGTTCATTCTTTATGCCTTCGATCCAATCACTATCTCTGTTGCGCATATCTATCACTCTGCTCTACCGCTTCTCCCCACGAGTTCATTGTTGAGGAAGCAGCATGCGGATGACTTGGTGGGCGAAGCAAAGATCGTTCTTGGCGCTGATGAGTCCTGGACAAAGCTCGTCCGTACTATCCAGCTTCCAGACGAAGTGCTTACGCTGGAATACTCGCCAGATGGGGCCTTCCTAGCTATTGGCGGGCACACGTTCCATCACGTCTACAGTACCAGCACGGGTGAGAGGACCTTCGTGCTCAACCCGCCTTCTGGCGATGAAACCAGTTTGCAGCCATTCTTTGCTGGCTCAGGTAGTTGGCCTAGTGAGCGTGTGCGTTCTATCGCATTCTCACGAGACGCCAATACTATCGCAACGGGATCAGGCCACGAGATATTGATTTGGAATTCCAAGACAGGAGCTGTGAGCAAGAAGCTCTCAGATTTTCCAGCGAATTATACTGGTCGCGTCGATTCTTGGGAGCAGATAATCACAGTCGAATTCCATCCCACTCTTCATCACCTACTTTTGTCTCGTACTCGCACTGGAAGGATCTGTCTTTGGGACATTAATACTGACACTAATCATCCTATATGCACTCAGAAGAAAGCAGGTGATCTATGCTGGCTGAAGAAA